ACTATAAATTAAAATAATAAAATAATTCATTACAATGAAAAATAAATGAAACAAATGGTAGAAGGAACATTGAACTAGGCAGGGATGAAATTATTCGAACACTCCGAGCTAGCTATGATAAGTTGAATAATGATGAAATGAAGAAGAGTGTTGAGCTGTTAAAGAAGAACATAAGAGATAAAAAAAACAAAACACTGAATATCAAAAAAGTGCGATTCAAAACTATGAGATTGCAGAAAAAACAAAAGAAGAATTAGACCATACACAAAGAGAAAATGAAGAACAAAAACAAATAATATCAAAACAACAAGAAAGTATCGAAAATTTTTTATCCCAGAAGGAACTGGAGAAGAAGAAAACAATGACTCTAGTGATAAATACACAACCAATATTGAGAACATCATCATCATAGACAATACAAATGAACCAAACTACCCCTATGAAAAAGACAATTCCAGAAATAGAAGAAGAAGAGAGCAAAACACGAGTATCAAAAAACAAGAAATGATAATCAATCAAGAAGAGAAGAAAATACAACAAATCAAACAAATAGAATTTTAATTGATGTGTTGTATTGTTTTGCAATTAATTTGTTAAATAAGAAATTAAATAAGAAATTAAGATGGGAACAAACAGAAAATATAATAAAAATAATAAATAATAATGTAAATAATGATAAAGAATACATTAATAATATTAAAAAGTCACATAAAATAAAATAAACAACTAAAAGATATATTAAAATGAAAATGAAATCAATCATAGAAGATAAAGTAGAGTATACCTCAATAATAAAAAATATTATCATAAAAAATAACTCTATTGATATTGATGATGAATATCTTAACTCTATCATCATTCAAGTTAAAGAAATGAAAATAAGTCAAATCATAATTTAGAATGAAAGATATAGAAATTATGATAATATCATCACATTAGATGATTTAAATTTAATTATGATGAAAATAATAACTATAAATCACCAGATATTGATATTATATATTTTGTTAATTGAAAAGAATATCATTATCAAGAGAATATATTCTTAATATATTTAATGATTAGTTAAATTTTAATGAATTCATCAAATTAAATATGGTAAAATGAAGAACTATATTAATCAACAAATGATGTGATATGAATGATGTTATTAATTATCATCATATCAGTTGTATAAATGTAATTATAAAAGTATTTATATCATTATTAAAAGATAATATTCATAATAGAATTAATATGAATAATGAATCATTTAAAATTAATAAAAATCAATTATGATATAAATTATAATTTCTTGATGATAAATAATAAATAATTAATAATTATATATTAAATCAACAGAAAGAAGATAAATATACAAATACATAGATTCATATTATGAAATTAATAAATTATATGAATCAGTGAATCATGAATAAATAATATAAATATTAAAATAATTTAATATAGAATGAATTAACATAGATAATATATAAAATATGATGAATATGATGAATATAATCATATGATATAAATACAATAAATATAAATGATATATTAAAATGATTAATTTTACATTTTGATTCATTATCATCTCTATTATCATTAAAATAAATATAATTTATCAATTCATTGAATATAAGTTAAATAATATAAACAATATATTATATAATGAATAAATTAGAATAATGATACAAAATAATGAATAAATAAGAATAATCAACAAATAAATTAAATAAATAATAAATTAAATAAAGAAATAAATGAAAATAAAATAAGAAATAAAGAATATTAATCAAATATCATCTTGAAATGAAAACATTACAATAAATGAAAGAGATGAAATTTATAAATATTTAAATATATGATAATCAGATGAAATTAATGATACATTCAATTATAAAATCATCAAATAAAAGATGATGAATAATTGAAGAAATAAATAGTGAAGAAAGTAATAATATAAGATATAATACAAGAATTAACAAAGAATTAATTAATTTCTTCATATACTCATTATCAGTAATAAAATAGAATGTAATTTATATAAAATGGAAATTGAAATAATAAAATAAATAATAAATACAAAATATATTAATGTTGGTAACTCTAAAGATAATCTATATATCAATACAAATGAAATAATGAATAATAAACATGAATAATAACTAATGAAATAATTAGAATAGTAATGTAATATTATACAAAAATGAAATAATAAATAATATATTAAATAGATGATATTCAAATAAATGAATTATGAATATAAATAAAAAATAATAAAACATAAAATCAAAGAAATAGAAATAGAATAAATAATAAAATAAATGATTGAAAATAAAAATAAATAAAAATAAATAAAATAATGATAAACAAATACTTCAATAAATTGAAATCAAACAATTGGATATTTTAGAATATTGATTAAATCAAAATTTATAGATAAAACTACTACAATCAATACATTGAATTCAATCAATATTAAAAAGAATTCTTTTCTTCAATTAACTAAAATACAAAATAGAATAATATTCAATGTGTATAGAAAAGATAAAATATTAAAAATGAATAAAATACTCAACACTTTGTAAATATAATTATAAACAGTAGAACACATTCTATTATCTTGTATTTGTCATAAAAAAATAATAAATTGAGAAATATGACAATATTGATATTATCATATTAGATAATAAGGAAATATAAATGAAATAATAAATATAAAAAATTAACATATGGAACAATGTTCAAATATAAATACATCACCAGATATTAAACATACAAATAATATCAAAAAGTGTTTAATAATATCATAAAATATCAGATATATATGTAATAAATAAAAAGAATAAAACTGGTCTATTATTTGATATGACTATTGTTGTATATCACAATATTAACGGAGTATAATTGAATAAAAGAAATAAGTATAAAGAAATGAAGAATATGTTAATTAAAATAGATAAATTAAAAGAAATCAAAATAAATACGTAGTAATTTCAATAAATTAATTAATAAATCTAGAAAGTATTAAATTAATTAAAGAAATAAAGATTGAGATTGACATCATAAAAGAAGTTAGAAACATTGTAATTAAAAACAAGGTTGATGTCATGGAACATTGTTTCTACCACAACCAAACATATTCTGTTAAAATAGTAGAAGAAGAGTCATGACGGATTAGTCTCCTCAGAACCAGGAATAATAGACACTGATTTTATTAACACTTAATTAATTATTTTTTATTTATGTTTTAGTATTTAGTTAATGATAGTAATACCTACTCTAATTTGAGAAAAGAAAATAAAAAAAATTCGCAAGAAGTATTGATGAGTGCAACATTCATTTTTATATTTTTTTATTCAAGGTGAAACTTCGGCATTAAATATAGAAATAGAAAACTATTTTATGTGATAATAAAAATTTTTATATAATTTTCATTTTTTTTATAAAAAAAGAACTAATAAGTTTTAAATAAAATGACTGAAACAACAAAGAGGGAAGATGCAATAATAAATGGAACTAAAGAAAAACCAGTTTGTGAATTTTTCTATAAAATTGGAGCTTGCAGACATGGAGATGCGTGTAACAAAACACACATCAAACCAGAGTCATCTCAAACTTTACTTTTTACACGAATGTATCAAAACCCAAAAAAAAGAATTGACGATGGAGAAGCACTTGAACGAGATGAAAAAAAAATTATGAGAGAGTTTAATGAATTTTACGAAGACGTTTTCAGAGAGTTAGAGAACTATGGAGAAATACTTGATTTTATTGTTTGTGGAAACGACAATGATCATATGATGGGAAATGTTTACGTAAAATATGATACTGAAGAACATGCAGCAGCAGCTAAGAAAGCTTTAACTGGAAGGTATTATGCAAAAAAAATACTTGCTCCTAATTTTTGTAGAGTGACTGAGTTTAAGGAGGCCATATGTCGACAACAACAAATCGGAACATGTACAAGAGGAGGGATGTGTAACTTTATTCATGTGATTGAACCAGATCGTAATTTAAAATATGATTTGTTTAGAAAACAAAAATTTAGAAGAAGAAGAGAAAGAATGATAAAGGAAGAAAAAGAACAACCACAAGAATTAATCAATAATATTGATGATCACAGAAAGTGTAGAGAAAGATATAGCAGATCTCGTTCAAGAAGTGATTCTAGAGAAAGACATTATCGAAGAGAGTCCTATAACCATTACTATTCCTCTAGATCAAGAAGTCCTTCAAGAGATAGACATTATAGAAAGCATTCAACAAGTCATGAACATTCTTCTTCAAGAAGAAGATATTATGATAATTAAATATTGATCTTTGTATTAAAATCAAGTTTCATTTTAGTTAAACACAAACTCAGAAAAAAGAATAGTATTTAATCACTCCATTCATCATCGTCATCATCATCGTCATCCTCATCATCAGCAATATCACTCCTTCTTACTTCCATAGCTTTTCTGAGCATAGAGGTCAAATCTTGTTTACCTGCATCACTGACAACAGGTGCGGCAGTGTCTAATTTTCTATCAGCAGCAGACCTAAGAGTAATACCACTTCTAATATCAGCTAACAAATTTCCATTAGCTGGTGCTGGAGCAGCAGTTTGTCTTGCTGGAGGAGGTGGTGGTGGGTTACCAGCTGAATTGGTTGATCTAATAGGAGGTGGTGGTGGATTACCAGCTTGTTTAGCAGGTGCAATTGGAGGAGGTGGTGGTGGATTGCCAATAGCAGGAGCTACTGGGGGTGGTGGAATATTATCAATCACTGGAGCAATTGGAGGAGGTGGAATATTAGCTGGAGCAGCTTGTACTGATGTAGTAGCAACATTTGAAGTTGTAGGAGCACCTGTGCTTGGAGTAGAACGAGCAATAGGAGTAGGTGGTGGTCTACGATCTGGTACAACAATATCTTCTACTTCAATGACTTTACTTAATTTATCTTCTTTATTTGCTCTTGATGCTTCTAATTGGTCAAGTAAATCTTTTGGAACAGTTCCTTGTTGGACTGCTTGTTTAACAGTTTGAATCAAAGTTTCAACAATAGTAGGATCAGCAAGATGTTTTGGTTTCACACCAGCATCTTTCAAAATTTCCTTCAATTCAGGTGACAACCAAGTAGTATTAATCATTGATTGTTTCTTCATAGTAACTAAACTTCTATATTTCTGTGGAAGTCCTTTAGAGGTCTTAATTAATTTTTGCATATCTTCCATATTAGCTGAAATGATTAATTGTGATTTACTATCAGTATCAGTTTTACAAATAAACAACTTTCTAAAACATTCAAACAATTGACCATAAGTTCCCCTAAACATTGAAAGTGAATCCTTTAATCCATTCATAACAAAATGTTGATACTCACTTTTCTTTTTAGTAACAGCAGTAATAGCATCAGCCAAGCTTTGGATCTTTGCTTGAGTTTGTATTTTTACTTACAGATCCTACTTCTTTTCAACTTAGACACTTCATCTGCTTCTTTTTCTTTGACTTTTATATTCTTTTTCTTTAGCATCAATTTCTTTTGGGAAAGTAGTAACATCTCCTCTAATGCAAGAACAAGTACTTCTAAATTCATCACATACAGACATTAAATTTTCTTTCCACATCTTTAATACATTAGACATATTTTTTACTCCAACTTGAAGGTCTGGATGAGTTTGTTGGCCTCCTTCTTCTAAGGAAGTATCAGCCATTGCTTCGAGACAATTATAAAGAGTGTCAGTAGCTTTAATCATTACAAGTTGTGCTTTAAAATATCCTTCACATGCATCAGCTAATTTTTTATAATTTGGTATAATCTTTTTCATTAATTGATAAGTCTCTGTTGTGCACCTCTCAATTTGGACTACTTCATCTTTTGTCTTAATATCCGTTTGTTTGTTCGACATTTTTATATCTAATTTTTAAGTTCGGTTTTCTAGTTTTTATTATTCTCTTTTTTTCTATGATAAAGTTTGTTCTATTTTTTCCTACATATTTACGCTATTAATTACCATTTTTTTTTAAGAATTTATATTTTTAATGTTTTATCTACAACGAACTTTTGTAAAAAAAAATCATATAACACTCTGACTTTTCTTGATGTCCGTAATGAAACAAAAAGATTGTCCTGAATTGAGATAAAAGGATATTAATATCTAAAAAAACAAAAGATAAAGGGGCTATTAAAGATGTTGACTTATATATTTTGAGAAATTTTCAAAAGTGATCATATTAAAAGAATTGCTTGACGTAAGCAAATTTTGAATAAGGACTGGAGATGATGGAAGTTTAAATTGAATAAGTACTTTTTCAAGAGTTTCTTTGTTCATTAAATTGCTTCCATTTGGAACGTAGAAATAAAAGAAATTAGTTATAAGTTTATCAATATTGATTTCTCCAGAATCATCCTCAGTCATTGCTGCTTCTAGTTCTTGACATAAAATCACAAATCTATTTTCATCAATAAAATCGTTTTGTTGATTTTTAAGAAATCCAATGTGAATAGCCTTTTGGTTATTAGGAGAAAATTGGTGCCATTGAGCAAGAAATATTTCTACAACTTCAGTTTCATTAAGAAATCCATCTCTGTTAGTGTCATGAACTCTAAATAGCTTAACTGCTTTTCTTGCATTCTTCCTCAAATGTTCTTCATTTGAATCGTCCATTTTTAATTCGTCATCTTCAGTCATTAAATACACAAACTCATCTTCATCAATAAATCCATTTCTATTATCATCATACATCACTAACTCGTTAATGGCTTCTTGCTCACTACTAAAAGGTTGTCCCATTTTATTGCATAATGTTTGAAGTTCATCAACTCCAATTTCTTTCTTTCCTTGAAGTTGGAAACAAATACGACATAAGACTGGATCATTTTCTATTTTTCCATTAGTAGAATCTAAGAATTTCATGATTAAATGAAATTGTGTTTTGGTAATAAATCCTTGATTGTGTATATCTGCAACAAAAAATAAAAATTTAAATATTTCATTATTTGTTGAATAAGACTCTCCTAATTTACATTTGATAGTAGCATCAAACAAGGCAAAAGTGATTTGTTCTGAATCATTTGAAGTTAAATGATCATTAACAATAAAGTTGTTGTTCGGGATTTTAATTGGTTCTTTAAAAGAACATTCAACAATATCAGCAGGAACTCTTGCATCTAGATTCTTTAGATATTTTTCAATATCAAAATTATGTTTATTGACAAATACTTTCAAAATACTAAGCATTTCATCTAATTGTAATACTCCATCACCATTTTCATCTAAATCAGCAATATATTGTAGCACAACTTTCTTTTTTGATTCCATTCCAGAGGCTTTTAACATTCTTGTTAAATCGTTATTGTCTAATGAAGCAGAACATGATTTATCAAGAGCTCTAAAAGTACAAGTCATTAAAACTTCAGTTGTAATTCTTCCAATTTTAGTTTCAATATAATTAATTCCACGACGTACTTTTACATATTCTTCTCTTGACATTGTTTTTTTATCTTTTGAAGAAAGAAGAATAAGTACAGAAAGTTGTGTTTCAATACCTTTACGCTCATTTAATGGAATATACTTTATTAATTCTTGGACAACATCTTCTTGTAGTACTTTTCCTTTCTTTTTTGGAAGTAAATCATATCTTTTTGAAAAGTCAGTAAATTCTATAACTTTTAAGTAATCATTGATAGGAATAGAGTTAATTTTATAAATTGAATCAAACGCACCAAGAAATTCATCTAACTGTAAAACTCCATCACCATTTTCATCATTTTGTTTGATATATTCTTTAATCTTTTTAGAATTTTTCTTATCACCAATTCTTTTGAAAAACTCGGACACTTCTTTACTATCAAGTGAATAATCATATGAAGAGTCTAATGAAAAAAAAGCAGCTGTAACAATTACTTGACCATTCAATTCACCTGTTTTAAAATATAAATTATCTAAGTGTTGCATTGTTTTAACAAATGTTTCAATACCAACATCATCTGATTTTGAAGTTATTCTCCATAACATTGAAAGTAGTTCTTCACAATTAGGTGTTCTATTATTAAATGTTTCCATTGTTAAGTTAATACAACGAGCAACAGGGATTTTATTTTTTTTTATCATTGAACTTGCTCCATTAAATTGAATTATAAAACTTTCTCTTGACATTTATATTTAATTAGCCTTTTTGAGTTTTTACAAAAAATAAGATCCATCGGTTTTTACATTGTCTCTTTTCTTTGTCTCTACAACCTTTTTATTCCTCTTTTACAGATTTCTTTCATTATTTTTATAAAGAATTTCAATAAATAACAAAATTAATCAAAAATATAAATTATAAATTGTTATATAAAACAATACAAAATAATAAGTTATTTTAGTTAATTTCTCAGTCTTTTTTTTCTTCAACTTCACTTGGTTTTGGTAGTTGGTCTTGTTCACTTACAACTTGATTACCAATAGAAGCAAATTGAGGGTTTCTTGTGATATAACTATCGTATAATCGATTAATAATTTTGTTCAGTGATAGTCTTTGAGTGGCATTAACTTCTTTAATAGCAATTAACTTATCATACAAATTTTTTTCAAGCCTAATTCGAATAGTAGAATCATCATATTTCGTTTTCCATTGTCGTTTTTCAGTTTCTGTTTTATCTTCATTTTTATTTGGTTTTGGACCTTTTTCTTTATCTTTATTCATTTGTTTTTTTTTTAGTTGAAAACTCATCACTTTTTGTTTTTATTATTTTTGCCATATATAACAAAATATAATTCATGAAACTTGATTTAAAATTTAAAAAAAGGGATATTAATAAACATTATTGTATTTGTCCTCTAATTCTTGTATCTAAGAGACACGTAAATCAAATTCTTTTTGAGTTAGAATTTTTAAAGAATTGTTGTTAAGACCTTTAATGAATAGGTTTTGGTAAAATTGTTCCCAATTCATTTTATCTTTCTCGTTATATGTAGTTAATTTAATAATAAGTTCTTTTAATGAACTTTCTATTTGTAAGTGATCTGGAAATTTGATTTGTTGAGGTTTGCCAAAATTGTTGTGGGTGTTGACATTCAAAGGGATAATAACTTGTACCATTTAAATAGAATAACACCAATAGCAAATATTTCATTTTTACTTGAATATTCTTTAATCAAAAAAAAACTTAAGAAGTTTAAAAGACAGAGAACCAAATACTGTTTTCAATTTATCGTCAAGAATAGAATGTACAAATCCATAATCTGATATTTTAAGAACATGTGTTCCATTTATAGATTTCAATAAAAAATTTGATGATTTTGAATCTATATGAACTACTCTCTTTTAAAATGAATATAGTTTAATTCTTTTTCAATACTATTGATGAATAATTCAATATCATTTAAAGATAGTCCTGATTTTTTTTTTGATTTAATTTATGTATCTAAATCACTAGAGTCACAATATTCTATTACAAGATTGTTTGTTCTTTTAATGAATTATCTATTTTTTGAGTTTTAAAGAAATCAATACATTTAACTAAATTATTATGTGAACATATTTTATCACAATGGCTTCTCTAATTATATAACATTTGTTTTCTTCTCCACATTCTTTAACTGTAACAAGCTGAGTTAAATCTCTATTTCTATATGCTTTATAAACAACACCAAAATTACCTTTCACTAATATTTCTAGTTGGTTTAATGGAATATAAGTTGATTGATTAGATTTATGGAATTGAATTATATTTTCCTTGAAGTTCAACGATGAAGAAAATAGCTGTACATTAAGACATTCTTCAAAAGTAATTCATTGTGACTCAACAACTAAACCATTTGAAAGCATATCATTTGCCATTGAATTAATTTTATGATTAAATGAAACTATTTGTTTGAATTGAACTAGTGAAGATGGAATAGTTTTAGAAGTAATAAATGAATAACCAGTTGCCATAGCATATATTAAATTACAATACTAAACTGGATTATGTTACATTTATTCAACCCTTCAATGGGTTAATATTAAAAACTTCTGGAGCAATATACTCACAAGATAGAATACTCTCTGGTTTATTTTAAATAAAGTGATTCAATAAATTATAACTGACCATGGAAATGGAATAACTCTAAAAGAAGAAATAAGACTTGCCTCTTTAGTTAATATAACTTAATAAGAAAAATCAGCACAAAAAGGAAAGATTGTAGTGAATGATTTATATCATGAATAAAAATTGAATTTCATTAAAAGTCAACACCTTTCCAACACATTGTGATAATAACAGATATGAATTATCTTCAAACAATAACCAAAGAATCAGTTTCAAACTATTAATAAATGTTGTTGAAATATATATCAAAAATCACAAACAATAACACACTGAAATTCATCAACAACCACAAAACATAAGTGTAATTGTATTATTTTAGTCGTTGTATTTGATTGTATTAATGATCTTTTTTATCTTCTTCGTATTCTATTTCAATTACTGAATAATTCTCAGTACCAAATTCAATGAATTTCATTACTCTTTTTTCCATTTTATGTTTAACTTTTTTGAAAGGAATCGTTTTATATTTGTAAATGTCTTGTATTTCATAAAACTATCTTAACTTAAAATGTTCAAACTGCATTGTTATTTTTTAATTTCTTCTTTTTTAAATAAATTAAAAATAAATTGAAAAAAAATTATAATTTTTAAAAAATATAATGACTATTTTATTAGTACATTTTAGAAGAAACATTCAATAACCTTGTACTAAAAAAAATTTCTAATAACTTCAAAAGTTAGTATAAATAATAAGTGTATCAGAATAACAAACACCTGCCACAACTAAAAATATATTTATAAATGTGATACTATATAAAACAATTATCCAAAGAATCAAATAAACCAAAATAAGTAAAAAGTAACATTAAAAAAATGAATTGAAAACAATTAAATTAATGATAAGATAAATAGAATAAATTGGGATGGTTAAGGTTTTATATAAATTTTAATATGAATTTTTTAGTAATATTATGTTGTTGATATAATGTAGTTAATTTTTATTTTCAATATTGATCAATTAAAATAATAATACAATAAATCTTATAAAATTATTGTGATAAAAAAAATTAATTATTTGAATAATTAAAAATAGCTAAATTATCAATGATTTCACTATATTTATTATTTTTTCATTACTATTATCTATTTACATTTAAATCGAACTTATCAAATTTCTTTTTACTATGAAGACATTTCTTTTATTAGTTTTATTTTTATTTAGTTATTGAGATACAGAATAAAACATCATTATCTAAATCATTATTTGTAAGATTTAATAAACCAATTTCTTCTTTTTATCATATTGTTATTAATAAATTAATTATTTCATATGATTTGATTTATATATTGAGTGCTTATCATTTATATTTATTTATGTTTTGTTTATGAAAAAGTGTTGAATGTTATTTCAAAAAGAATGATTATAACATTCAAAAGTTTAATAATAAACTAGTTTGATGTCTAAAGTATGTAATAAGACATTATTATATCATTTGAATTATTATAATAAGTGAAAATGAAACAATTTAAATATCATAAAAATGATTTAAAATTAAACAAGAATTATTCTTAGATAATTGATATTTGTAATACTTCTATTCAAGTAAATATAAATGAATAGAATTTGGAGAGTTTGTGATATTTCAAGTATTTTAGATATTAAAAATACATACCATTCATTAAAAATAATTGAGTAAATTTTATTATATATTGATATATTAGATTACCTATTAACTTTTTCACATTGTAATAATAATTTAAATATAATAATAAAAATATAACTGAGAAATTACTGGAATTATATTTATTCTTGTTTTATTATCTAAATTTAGATATTCAACAAAATTGAATAGAAATATTGAATATTCATCATTCGGGCAAAATATTTTGAATCAATAAAATAATAGTTTTTATTATTTTGCTCCTAAAAAAAAAATAAAAAATAAAAAAGTAAATTAAATAATCATTCTATATTCAATTATATCTGATTATATTTTATATCA